CATTGCTAAGAACTTCATTTGAACAACTTTAAAGGCGATTTTCTCAATATTTAGATTTTTTTGCACCCTCAGATTCAGATTTTCAAATAGTTGTATCTCAGCCAAATACAGTCCTATCCTAACAAACCATACATCAATGGAAAGATTATTTATTCAGCTTTCAGCTGATGTATAAATCTCAATTTCAAAAAATTGACCCTTATAACTGGTTTTGTGGTCCAGGGTCACATATAATATGTATAAGGCAAGTTTGTACAAGATGTAGTTGTAGCTCATGCATCTTTTCTGCAGGGATAACTTGAATGTGAGGGATCCAGAGTGATTTTCTGAGCCCTTTTCCTCACTCTGGATGTATATAGTTCTTGAAGGGTGGGCAGGGGAGCACCAATAATCCTCTCAGCAGTCCGAACCGTTCTCTGTAGTCTTCTGATGTCTGATTTTGTAGCTGAACCAAACCAGACCGTTATTGAAGTGCACAGGACAGACTCAATGACGGCATTAGAACTGTTTCAGCAGCTCCTTGACTTTTGAGATTTTATAAAAGAATTTTCCTCGTATTATTTCTGAACACATAATGTGTATAAGACAAGTTTGTACAATATGTTGTTGTAGTTCATGCATCTTTTCTGCAAAGATATTTAACAAGTGATTTGATTAACATTTACATCATGTTGACAACTTCGCGTGTGCTGCACTTGGAATAGAATTTTCTCTAACTAGAGGGTTAATAAAGAAAAAGTTACTTGAATCATGTTGCAGTTACATTTTCAAGTTGACTAGTTAAAAATCGTAAAAAGTCAAAATCGGTCAATCGAGATTTAAATTTTTTGCCATATCGCCCAGCCCTAGCAGTAACTAACATCCCCTGGGCTGACCTGAGACGAGCCCAGGACACTCTGTATGTGCTCCAGTCCCTGCGCAGCGTCCAGCAGGGCGGCGCTCATCACGGCGGCAGCAGACGGCCGCTCGCTCATCCTGAGCATAGTCACCATGTAGCCGTCGGACACGATGAGGAGCGGCTGGTGAGGATGCCACGTGACGGAGTAGCGCTGTCTCATGGGGTCACGGAGCGACACGCTGGAGCTGGAGACGCCACCGTCCTGCGTCTGCAAAGGCACTGGAGGTCTACGGATCAAATCGATGAATACAGTCAGAACACTTGAAATATAAAATCTTTGTTCATGCATGACAGCATGCATCTGATATAAAGCTTGCATTCATATTTTTATAGTGTTGCACATTATAAATGCAAGAGGAAATGATGTCTCATGCCTGCAGTGATGTGATTATTAGGTAAAGACGTCTCACTATTCATGTACTTACATTGAACAATGACCAAGGAAAAGGAAGAAAAAGATGAACAGAGATGTAAAAATGTTGAATAAAAGAAGAAATATTTATTTAATAAAAAAAGGTCATTATTTGTGCAAACTATATATATATATATATATATATATATATAAAGAAAAATAATTTTAGTTTTCATTTAAGATTATTTTAGACAAAAGAAAATGTTAATTATTTGGAATTTTTTTGTTTAAAATATTTATTAAATGTGTTAATATTTGTATTATAAAAAGGTGCATATAAACTTTTATACATTATGTATAAGTATTACAATTATAAAAATAAAAGAAAAAGATTTTTATAAAAAATTTTATAAGAAAAATGTATTGACATTTACATTCACAAGCAAAATGTATATTTTTCTTAACATTAATTGTTATTTATAAACAGTTTATAAAACCTGAAAGATATGTTGAAAGACTTAAAAAACAATTAATGCATATGTAAAAATATTGATTAAAAGAAGTATTTATCTAATAAAAAAGGTGATTATTTGTGCAAGCAATGTATATATTTAATAACTACAACGTTAAATAAAAACTTTTGTAAAAGGTATTTTATTAAAAAGTGTGTAATTATTTGAACAAGTTTTAAATAATTGTATTAAATGTGTACATCTGTATAATAATAATTTAAATTAAGACAAACGCGTGTATAATTAATAAAATGATAAAAAAACATAAAAAACAATTTAAATCAATACAAAAAAAAAGATCAATACAAAATGTTAAAAGTTATTTAGAAACAGTTAAAAAGATATCATAAAGCCTAAAAAAAAAAGTTTGAGAAAGGAAAAAATAAATACAGAATGCTTAGGAAAAGAAGAACAACAACATAAAATGTGTAATGGTTTTTGACTGCATTTCTTCCATTAATGTTTCTAAACCTGCATGAGAAAAACTAGCACATATCTTCACTCAGTGACACTGGAAGGGTCAGTAAACAGCATAAACAAGAGCAAGCAATCAAATCACCTGTAAGTGACCAGCGGGTGAAGCGGCAGGAAGTGGGCGGCACTGAACTCAACGCTGCATCCTGTTGTGGACAGAGACACGAGTCCACCGAGACGCGCCAGCATGAGCAGAGAGCCTCTCTTCAGCACACAGGCCAGATAAAGCCCTTCTGGAGTCCAGCTCACAGAACCGGCCCAGTACGACCTGCAGAAAACAGAGCTCTTCTCATTCTCTACTTTACACTTCTCAACTATACTTCGTGCTGTTACTGCCTCGTATGCATGCATCTTATTTTACCGACTGTTTATTTCTATTTAACGCACATCTGCTGATTATGCTGCTGAACACAATGTTGCTGACCAAGTTGACTTTTTCATAACTGTGCATATGACAAATATAAATCTTGAATCTCAAAGATGGGGAGTGAAACAATCCCACAAACCCCTTTTCAATCACTATTCTCAATATTCAAGCGCTTTATGACCATGGAGGAGAAAGAAAAAGATGAATACCGATGTAAGAATGCTGATTTTAAAAAGTCTCTAATTATAAAGGTCATTATTTGTACAAGTAATATACACTGCCGCTCAAAAGTTTGGGATTAGTAAGACTTGTAATGTTTTTTAAAGAAGTCTCTTCTGCTCAATTTACTGACCCCAAACTTTTGAACTGTAGTGTATATTGTTAGAAAATATTTCTATTTTAAATAAACTCTTCTTTTTAAATTTTTATTCATCAAAAAATCCTGAAAAAAAGTATCAGTTTCCAAAAAAATATGAAGCAGCAACAGTTTCCAGCTCTGATAATA